AGTGGACACCTTGCGGGAATGGTAATCATGTTTACCTATGTGGAGAGAAAACAAACACACACACACACACACACACACACACACACACACACACACACACACACACACACACACACACACACACACACACACACACACACAATATCTGACAGGGAGGCAACAACGAGTCATGGTACGCGACGAGGTGTCAGAGTGGGCGCCTGTGACAAGCGGGGTTCCACAGGGGTCAGTCCTAGGACCTGTGCTGTTCTTGGTATACGTGAACGACATAACGGAAGGGATAGACTCAGAAGTGTCCTTGTTTGCAGATGATGTGAAGTTAATGAGAAGAATCAAATCGGACGAGGATCAGGCAGGACTACAAAGAGACCTGGACAGGCTACAAGCCTGGTCCAGCAACTGGCTCCTTGAATTTAACCCTGCCAAATGCAAAGTCATGAAGATTGGGGAAGGGCAAAGAAGACCGCAGACACAATATAGTTTAGATGGCCAAAGACTGCAAACCTCACTCAAGGAAAAAGATCTGGGGGTGAGTATAACACCGAGCATATCTCCTGAGGCGCACATCAATCAGATAACTGCTGCAGCATACGGGCGCCTGGCAAACCTACGGATAGCGTTCCGATACCTCAGTAAGGATTCGTTTAAGACTCTGTATACCATCTACGTCAGGCCCATACTGGAGTATGCAGCACCAGTTTGGAATCCACACCTAGTCAAGCACGTCAAGAAATTAGAGAAAGTGCAAAGGTTTGCAACAAGACTAGTCCCAGAGCTACGGGGATTGTCCTATGAAGAAAGGTTGAGGGAAATCGGCCTGACGACACTGGAGGCCAGGAGGGTCAGGGGAGACATGATAACGACATATAAAATACTGCGCGGAATAGACGAGGTGGACAAAGACGGGATGTTCCAGAGAAGGGACACAGACACAAGAGGTCACAATTGGAAGTTGAAGACTCAGATGAATCAAAGGGATGTTAGGAAGTATTTCTTCAGTCATAGAGTAGTCAGGCCATGGAATAGCCTAGAAAGTGATGTGGAGGCAGGAACCATACATAGTTTTAAGGCGAGGTATGATAGAGCTCATGGGGCAGGGAGAGAGAGGACCTAGTAGCAATCAGCGAAGAGGCGGGACCAGGAGCTGTGAATCGACCCCTGCAACCACAAATAGGTGAGTACAAATAGGTGAGTACACACACACACACACACACACACACACACACACACACACACACACACACACACGTTGCATGGACAGGCTTTCACTGAGACGGTTTCCCTTTGTGGAGAGCTTTAATCAAGCCACTTAATAAAGCTCTAAATAGAGTGAAACGTTGCCCTAGTGATATCATATTCTGCAACTTCTTCGCTATTTTGGCAGTACGCCATTTGGGGACGTTACACAGTTGTAAACGTCAACGCTCAACGCTATGATGGTTGTATAAGGTTCTTACACGCTGAAATTCATGATCATTCAAATATTACTTAAAACGAATACAAGAAGAGGTCTATGCTGCTGACAATACCTCTCTTAAAAAACTGCTACTTGGTCATAATCAAAGCGGCCAAGATTCGATTGCCAGGAAGAAAAGGAGACGATTACCAGGAAGAAGAAAGACTATTACCAGAAAGAAAAAAGAAACGTTTGAGACATGAAGATGTTAGGCTCGTAGGAGTGTGAAATTTCAGTGTGGAAGTACAGTGGGACTGACTGGAATGAGTTTGTCAGAAGATCTTAGTGACACTGACTATTGTGGAAATCTCCGTGTTTAGTGCTCAGTGGACTTACCACAACTTTAAGTCTCGTGTAAATGTTCCTTCAGTGAGGGTGCTATGATACTGGCGAAGGAAGGGCTTTTGATTCTAGGAATTGGAAGTGGCATTCCCTATCTCAGATCAAGTATATAACGATGTCATAAAAATATGAGGTTAAGTTACACTCCTGACTTGTTTATGTGTGTGTGTGTTCAACACAGTGACCTGTCTACTGTGTGTGTGTGTGTGTGTGTGTGTGTGTGTGTGTGTGTACTCAGTTGTGGGTGTAGGGGTCGAGTCACAGCTCCTGGTCCCGCCTCTTCACTGGTCGCTACAAGGTCACTCTTCCTGCTCCATGAGCTTTATCATGCGTCTTCTTAAAACTATGTATGGATCCTGCCTCCACTACATCACTTCCCAGACTGTTCCATTTCCTGACAATCCTGTGACTGAAGAAATACTTCCTAACATCCCTGTGATTCATCCGAGTCTTCAACTTCCAACTGTGACCCCTTGTTGCTGTGTCCCATCTCTGGAGCATTCTGTCTCTGTCCACATTGTCGATTCCTCTCAGTATTTTATATGTCGTTATCATACCCCCCTATCTCTCCTGTCTTCCAGTGTCGTCAGGTCGATTTCCCTTAACCTCTCCTCGTAGGACATGCCCCCTTAGCTCCGGGACTAGTCTTATTGCACAAATAATTTCCATACGTGCTTGGCTAGGTGTGGGTTACAAACTGGTGCTGCATACTCCAATATAGAACTAACCTACACAGTGTACAGGGTCCTGAACGAGTCCTTATTAAGATGTCGGAATGCTGTTCTGAGGTTTGCCAGGCGCCCATATGCTGCAGCAGTTATTTGGTTGATGTGCGTTTCAGGAGATGTGCCTGGTGTTATACTCACCCCAAGATCTTTTTCCTTGAGTGAGGTTTGTAGTCTCTGGCCCCCTAGACTGTACTCCATCTGCGGTCTTCTTTGTCCTTCACACACACACACACACACACACACACACACACACACACACACACACACAGTGTGTGTGTCCACACAGTGACCTCTGCCTAGTAGAAAGCTAAATCTCTGAATCTAGAAATTTTAAATTCAGTTGCAAGTACACTTATAGAATTATATACCTCAGACTAACTTACTCTTACGAAAGAAAATTATTGACAAAAACCTGAAGTTAATTCTGGTTTAATTACAGATAAGATTATGCAAATTTTCAAAATTTACGTTTAAAGATAAAAATATAAGATATAATTATGCAAATATTCATATCTTACATTTAAAGAAAATATCTCACATTTCACACTTTCACTTCTCTGCGTTTCAAAGCTTTATTAATATACTTTATTTTTTATTTTTTGTAAACAGTTCATTCACTCTTATTTAACTTTAAATTATTAAATGAAAATACTCGGCATGTGTACATAACATCAGTCTGCGGTATTACCCGTTAACTTTCTTAAGATTACTTGTGGCCAAGATTACCGACCGTTACTCGGCGGAGCTGATTACCGACCGTTACTCGGCGGAGCTGATTACCGACCGTTACTCGGGGGAACTGATTATCGACTATAATTTGGTGGATTCGATTACCGACCATTACTCAGGGGAACTTATTACCGAATATTATTCAAGGGAACTGATTGTCGACCATTACTTGGTGGATTCAATTACCATTATTCAGGGGACCTTATTACCGACCATCACTCAGGGGAGCTGATTACCGACCATCACTCAGGGGAGCTGATTACCGACCATTACTCAGGGGAACTGATTACCGACCATTACTCAGGGGAACTGATTACCGACCATTGCTCGGCGAAAGTGATTACCGACCATTACTCGGGAGAACTGATTGCTGACCATTACTCGGTGGGATCGATTACCGACCATTACTCGGTGGAGCTGATTACCGAGCATTACTCGGGAGGAGTGATTACCAATCATTACTCGGCGGAAGTGATTACCGATCATTACTGGGCGGAAGTGGCTGTGTTCACGCAGTGTTAAAGCTCTGTCTTCACACAGCGAGGTCCGGGTTCGATTCCCGGCGAAGGGGTGGAAACATTGGACGTGTTTCCTTACACCGGTTGTCTATGTTCACCCATCAGTAATGAATACCTGGGTGTTAGTGGACTGGTGTGGGTCGCATCCTGGGACAAAACTGACCTAATTTGCCCGAAATGCTGAGCATAACAAGCGGCTTTCTATATAGTAGTATGTCATTGATGACAGCTATGGTCTGTATACCTTGTATATGTACTTACCTGGAGTTTACCTGGAGAGAGTTCCGGGGGTCAACGCCCCCGCGGCCCGGTCTGTGACCAGGCCTTGTAGTAAATATATTATTATTATTATTATTTATTATTATTATTATTATTATTATTATTATTATTATGTAGTATCACCCAGTGCTCTTTGCGTCAGGGAAGATTCACTCTTATCAAACTGACTTTGAGTGCATTGATCGGTGATAACTCAGAACTGTTGGTGTGAGTGAAGAACTGTAAAGAACGACTGCAGTGCCTGGCTTTTACACAAATCATTAGTCTGGTCATTGCAGCTGAGAAGTACCAGATTCATACCTCAAGATTGCAACAATACCTTGCCCATCTAGTAAGATGTCCGAGTACCAAACATAATGTTCAACTAGTCTGTTTCTGCAATATGTTGAATGTTAAGTCTTACATCTGGGATTGCCAGACTGTACAGTGCATGATGAATAACCCACAATATCGTGACTGGAACAATTCATAAATAACCCGCAATACCGTGGCTGGAACAATTCATAAATAACCCACAATACCGTGGCTGGAACAATTCATAAATAACCCGCAATACCGTGGCTGGAACAATTCATAAATAACCCACAATACCGTGGCTGGAACAATTCATAAATAACCCACAATACCGTGGCTGGAACAATTCATAAATAACCCACAATACCGTGGCTGGAACAATTCATAAATAACCCGCAATACCGTGGCTGGAACAATTCATAAATAACCCACAATACCGTGGCTGGAACAATTCATAAATAACCCGCAATACCGTGGCTGGAACAATTCATAAATAACCCACAATACCGTGGCTGGAACAATCCACAAATAACCCGCACTAACAAGAGTAAACTGACGACAAAGTAGGTATGTACACTGCGTATTTTCCTATACTGTAAATACATACAGAGGTACTGAGAGCCTCTGAAAGCTATGAGAATAAGCGGTACTCACACTCTTGTTGCCCAGGTTGTGGACGAGACAGTGTAGGTACGCTGAGTTACCAGTCAGGCTGGAGACGTTACGAGGTGCAGCCTCGTCGAATACTGGGTGTAGGGGCATTGTTAGGATGGATGCCCCTGCTGCCCCTGAACTTAGATCCAGCAGGGGCTTGATAGGTTCCACGGGGCTGCTACTGCTGCCGCTTAACGTCATACCCAGGTGGCTAGTGCCACCCTTCACACTGCCACTAGTGCCGCTGCTGCTACTGCTGTGGTGGTGGTGGTGGGTGCCGCTACTGCTGCTGCTGCTGCCGCTGCCGCCGCCGCCACCTCCGCCACCTCCACCGCCCCCTCCAGTGCTTCTACCCGCCCGGCGGCCAGACTGCTGCTGTTGCTGTTGCTGCTGCTGCTGTGGCGGTGGGTGCAGAGAGGAGTGAGGTGAGTGAAGCGACGAGGGCGCCACCACCACTGCTCCTGCACAGGAAGATAATGACACAGGTTATAGTCATCAATATTAGATCCGATGTGCCATTATTAAGCCAAAGCATTGTGTGGTTTTGTGGTGACACACACACACACACACACACACACACACACACACACACACACACACACACACACACACACACACACACACACACACACACACACACTGACATCAAGGTGTCAAAACATCGACCTGATTAGATTGCAATACGAAATTGAAATTAAACACGTGTCTTGCTAAACCAAGACAAAAGAGAACTCCAAGAACAACAGTAAAATGGGGGAAAGAAAGAGGGAACAGAAGAAATGTGATAACAGCTTGGATAAGGAATATGAAAGGAAATCAAATACCCTCCATTAGCAAGATTTGGAAAGGTGTAAGAGAACACAGCGAATTAAGCTTGGAATAGAAGAAATGGCAATTGCAGCTGAAGAGAAAAGATGGAAGATGAAAGGAGCAGTGATAATGAAGCAAGCAGGAGTAGAGGAATCATGAATGGAAGAAGAGTGGAAAAAAAGACCGAGAAGAAATGATCACAAGAGACCATGAGGTGCAGAAGATAACTGATAACTAGAGAACACTCTTAAGGTACAGGAGAAGACAACTGATAACTAGAGAACACTCTTAAGGTACAAGAGAAGACAACTGATAACTAGAGAACACTCTTAAGGTACAAGAGAAGATAACTGATAACTAGAGAACACTCTTAAGGTACAAGAGAAGACAACTGATAACTAGAGAACACTCTTAAGGTACAGGAGAAGACAACTGATAACTAGAGAACACTCTTAAGGCACAGGAGAAGACAACTGATAACTAGAAAACACTCTTAAGGCACAGGAGAAGACAACTGATAACTAGAAAACACTCTTAAGGCACAGGAGAAGACAACTGATAACTAGAAAACACTCTTAAGGCACAGGAGAAGACAACTGATAACTAGAAAACACTCTTAAGGTACAGGAGAAGACAAATGGTAACTAGGCAAAACTCTGTAAGGTGCAAAGGGGGTTGGAAGAAAAAAAAGATGACTGATGATGTATCAGTCTGATGAGTCTGATGGCACATTATGAAAATTACAACGAGATGAAGAAGGACATTAAATTATTAACTATCTCCGACTGTGCAACGGTAGAGGAGAAATTAGATCTGTCATCAAATTTACAGAGTCTCAGGAAATACTCTTGGAAGATACTACACCTGATCTTGCTAATGATTTTTTATAGCAAAAACACACTTCATTTTGAGAGAGAAAAAGGCACAGCTAGCAGCTGTGCCTTTTTCTCTCAGCTCACACACAGTGTGTCCGTGGTTCGATCCCTGGTACGGGTACAAACATTGGGCGTGTTTCCTTAGGACACTTACTGTCCCTGTTCATCTAGCAGTGAGTAGGTACCTGGGTATTAGTCGACTGGTGTGCGTCGCATCCAAGATTAACCTAAGCTGCCCAAAACACTGATGTGAGCTATGGTCTGTATAAGTTGTGTCATGTACTTGTAGAAGTAAACATTGTTATTGTTATTAACTATAGTAATTACCAGAATATAAATTCTAACTTCAAGTAAGTTGGAAAAGATGAGAATATTGAATTCCTCTGTCTAAAAATATTTAATTACAAATGAATAATTAATCCAGCTTACAGACATATATACAATCAATTCTCTCTCTCTCTCTCTCTCTCTCTCTCTCTCTCTCTCTCTCTCTCTCTCTCTCTCTCTCAGAACCAATCACATACATTTCCCAAAATACAGTATTATTCTTTCATAACATTTCGTCTCTATAAGAAAGTTCATTATACCCAACGAAATTCCTGAAATAAATATGAAAAGGAACGAGAAAGGATGAAAGATTGTGAGAGGAACGACACCTGAGGATTGTAAGAGGAACGTCACCTGAGGATTGTAAGAGGAACGGCACCTGAGGATTGTAAGAGGAACGACACCTGAGGATTGTAAGAGGAACGACACCTGAGGATTGTAAGAGGAACGACACCTGAGGATTGTAAGAGGAACGACACCTGAGGATTGTAAGAGGAACGACACCTGAGGATTGTAAGAGGAACGACACCTGAGGATTGTAAGAGGAACGACACCTGAGGATTGTAAGAGGAACGGCACCTGAGGATTGTAAGAGGAACGGCACCTGAGGATTGTAAGAGGAACGACACTGAGGATTGTAAGAGGAACGACACCTGAGGATTGTAAGAGGAACGGCACCTGAGGATTGTAAGAGGAACGGCACCTGAGGATTGTAAGAGGAACGACACCTGAGGATTGTAAGAGGAACGACACCTGAGGATTGTAAGAGGAACGACACCTGAGGATTGTAAGAGGAACGGCACCTGAGGATTGTAAGAGGAACGGCACCTGAGGATTGTAAGAGGAACGACACCTGAGGATTGTAAGAGGAACGACACCTGAGGATTGTAAGAGGAACGACACCTGAGGATTGTAAGAGGAACGACACCTGAGGATTGTAAGAGGAACGGCACCTGAGGATTGTAAGAGGAACGACACCTGAGGATTGTAAGAGGAACGGCACCTGAGGATTGTAAGAGGAACGGCACCTGAGGATTGTAAGAGGAACGGCACCTGAGGATTGTAAGAGGAACGGCACCTGAGGATTGTAAGAGGAACGACACCTGAGGATTGTAAGAGGAACGACACCTGAGGATTGTAAGAGGAACGACACCTGAGGATTGTAAGAGGAACGGCACCTGAGGATTGTAAGAGGAACGGCACCTGAGGATTGTAAGAGGAACGGCACCTGAGGATTGTAAGAGGAACGGCACCTGAGGATTGTAAGAGGAACGGCACCTGAGGATTGTAAGAGGAACGACACCTGAGGATTGTAAGAGGAACGACACCTGAGGATTGTAAGAGGAACGACACCTGAGGATTGTAAGAGGAACGACACCTGAGGATTGTAAGAGGAACGACACCTGAGGATTGTAAGAGGAACGACACCTGAGGATTGTAAGAGGAACGACACCTGAGGATTGTAAGAGGAACGACACCTGAGGATTGTAAGAGGAACGGCACCTGAGGATTGTAAGAGGAACGACACCTGAGGATTGTAAGAGGAACGACACCTGAGGATTGTAAGAGGAACGACACCTGAGGATTGTAAGAGGAACGACACCTGAGGATTGTAAGAGGAACGACACCTGAGGATTGTAAGAGGAACGGCACCTGAGGATTGTAAGAGGAACGACACCTGAGGATTGTAAGAGGAACGACACCTGAGGATTGTAAGAGGAACGACACCTGAGGATTGTAAGAGGAACGGCACCTGAGGATTGTAAGAGGAACGACACTGAGGATTGTAAGAGGAACGACACCTGAGGATTGTAAGAGGAACGACACCTGAGGATTGTAAGAGGAACGACACCTGAGGATTGTAAGAGGAACGACACCTGAGGATTGTAAGAGGAACGGACACCTGAGGATTGTAAGAGGAACGACACCTGAGGATTGTAAGAGGAACGACACCTGAGGATTGTAAGAGGAACGACACCTGAGGATTGTAAGAGGAACGACACCTGAGGATTGTAAGAGGAACGACACCTGAGGATTGTAAGAGGAACGACACTGAGGATTGTAAGAGGAACGACACCTGAGGATTGTAAGAGGAACGACACCTGAGGATTGTAAGAGGAACGACACCTGAGGATTGTAAGAGGAACGGCACCTGAGGATTGTAAGATGAACGACACCTGAGGATTGTAAGATGAACGACACCTGAGGATTGTAAGATGAACGACACCTGAGGATTGTAAGAGGAACGACACCTGAGGATTGTAAGATGAACGACACCTGAGGATTGTAAGAGGAACGACACCTGAGGATTGTAAGAGGAACGACACCTGAGGATTGTAAGAGGAACGACACCTGAGGATTGTAAGAGGAACGGCACCTGAGGATTGTAAGAGGAACGACACCTGAGGATTGTAAGAGGAACGACACCTGAGGATTGTAAGAGGAACGACACCTGAGGATTGTAAGAGGAACGGCACCTGAGGATTGTAAGAGGAACGACACCTGAGGATTGTAAGAGGAACGACACCTGAGGATTGTAAGAGGAACGACACCTGAGGATTGTAAGAGGAACGACACCTGAAGATTGTAAGAGGAACGACACCTGAGGATTGTAAGAGGAACGACAACTGAGGATTGTAAGAGGAACGACACCTGAGGATTGTAAGAGGAACGACACCTGAAGATTGTAAGAGGAACGACAACTGAGGATTGTAAGAGGAACGACAACTGAGGATTGTAAGAGGAACGACACCTGAAGATTGTAAGAGGAACGACACCTGAAGATTGTAAGAGGAACGACACCTGAAGATTGTAAGAGGAACGACAACTGAGGATTGTAAGAGGAACGACAACTGAGGATTGTAAGAGGAACGACAACTGAGGATTGTAAGAGGAACGACAACTGAGGATTGTAAGAGGAACGACACCTTAAAATTGTAAGAGGAACGACACCTGAAGATTGTAAGAGGAACGACACCTGAAGATTGTAAGAGGAACGACACCTGAAGATTGTAAGAGGAACGACACCTGAAGATTGTTAGACCCGCCAGGCGGGTGATTGATCGTTGGAAAAATTCCAGGAATGAGCCTAACGGCCTATTGTTATCCTGGTGAAGGGCGGCGATTATTTTCACGCCGAGGTGGTAATGAGTCTGTCGATAGGTTAGACCTCCCTATTCATCAAGCTTCCGCTTGAGTAACTCACCTAGAATGATGAATAACCTTAGATGAATTGTATTCAGGTGATTTACAATTAATATATATATACATGTCGTGTCGAATAGATAAAACTTGCGATTTTGGCTTAAATAGCAACGCTCTTCTTGCCGAATAAGGCAAGCGAAAATTTGTGTATGCAATAGTTTCGCAGAAAATCATTCTGAACCTAACGAAAAATATATATTTCATTGTGTTTGTTTATCTGTGATGTTTCTCAAGCTATCTGTTAG